AAAAGGAGAGGCAGAAAGAAGAACCAGGGGAAAAGGCGAAGCTAGAGAGGACAGTACTGCCTGCCAATACATGAGCTGGGAGGCAAAAACACAGTCACTGCCTCCCAAAGACACCAAATGCAGCCTTCTGGATAAACATGACTATGAATGGTGTCAACAGCATGCCATATGTACAATGCATATGAACCCTAGTGCAGCCCTCAATCAACAAACCTCAGAACATTCTCAATCTCAGACCTCTGCAAAGGAGTCAATGACCCTTGCACTACTCAGGGTGTGGCACCATATACAGAAAGCCAACATCTATTATACAAACTCCTAAATCCACATGAAAACTTAGGGAAGGGCTGCCCTAAGCACATGTAGCTTGAAGTGAACAATATTGAAAACACACACAACAAGAAAGGCTTGTAAACACATGCATGTGAAGCAACAGTAAACTTGGAAATGATAAGCAAATGGCTCCCACAGGACAGAGTCTAAAAGAGGGCCAACAGTCCTATAAAACCAGCTTGGACCCACTTAGGCTGGCATCTCTAGTATCTATCCATGTAGGTGGATCATCAGTGAAAGGACTGAGGTGTACTGACATGAAAGCTGGCAGCTTCCAGTGGTGCTGCTACTTAGCAGGAGACAGGTGTAATTAGAGAGATCTTATCTAACTATTGGATAGATCACTTCTGAAGTCATTTGCTGCTTCAATTCTTGTTCTCTGTGAACCTTGTAGTCGTCCATTTTGCTTCACTGGATGTTTCCTTCGTGGGGGTTATCTTGAGATGATCTTGAGATGATTTCGGGGCTTTAGTGTCCCCGCGGCCCGGTCCTCGACCAGGCCTCTACCCCCAGGAAGCAGCCCGTGACAGCTGACTAACACCCAGGTACCTATTTTACTGCTAGGTAATGGGGGCATAGGGTGAAAGAAACTATGCCCATTGTTTCTCGTCGGCGCCCGGGATCGAACCCGGGACCACAGGATCACAAGTCCAGCGTGCTGTCCGCTCGGCCGACCGGCTCCCTCCCGGGGTGACTGTAAAGAATCCCCAGTTCCCTGTGCCTCTGTGATGGGGAAAACTAGGCTCTGGCTCTGATCTCAGGTAGGCTATTCAAAACTCTTAGGGCTCATGTGACTTACTGTGTAGAGCTATCTCAGTATCTTCAGAGATCCACCATTTGGCCCCTACAGGAAAACACAAAACCACATACTCAATATAAAATGTGTTATCATATCAAATGAGTAATCATTATTGCATAATTGACTTTTACTGCCCTTGTAATTGCCATCCTTGCCTGTAATTTTCAGAAAACCTTTTTATTGCTAACCTTAGTTTTATGCACTGATTTTGTTACAAAATTAATAATTTCCTTGACATTGATTGCATTCAGATATTATACCAATATTTTTGTGTAAAGGCACATTCAAGGCACCCTTATTGTAATCAGTGCTTGTTCAGAAAACCATCCTTTTTCAATGGCATCTTCAAGATAAATTACACTTGCACCTAGGATCTCTCACCTGGAAATAATGATTCGTATTCCAATTCCCAAGTTTCAAACTGCTTGTTCAAAAAAAAATTCCTTGTCATCTACAAGCTTAACATTGTCAAGTAGCAACTCCTCCCTACTTCTAGATGTCAGAAGATTTTCCACGCATAATTAAAGTGCTCAAAATGAAAATAAAACCTCTTTAACAACCATAACAAGAGAGAATTCCTCGAAGGAGAGTCAATAGCTTCAATCATGAATGTTTTCACACTTAATCTATTTAGTGAGGTACAGTATAATATAGAGTACAGTATAGAGTATAGAGTAAAGTATAGAGTATAGTATAGAGTATAGAGGAAACTATAGAGTAAAGAATATAGTATAAAGTATAGAGTAAACTGAATGATTAATTTATAGATGAATGTCATGAGCAATAAGCCCACTACTATTTGAAGGAGTTGCATGAGAAGATTTTTGTACCAAGATGTCAAATAACTTGAGTTAAGTGGGATTCAAGATCAATAGATTTCAAGCATGTGAAGAATTATCTAGCTTTTTTTTTTTTGTCTAACGATTAACATCAAAGCTTTAGCAAATTCTTACATATCTCAGTTCCTTTAGAATCTATGTGAAAAATGCCTTTCAAAGTGCCACCCCTTCCCCCACCATATTAAAGAAAAAAAATTATAGTACATATGAATACAATTACTTATTCTAAACTACTGCATAAATCAACAAGAAGGATGGCAAGGAGCCTGCACACCATGCAGAGAAATTGTTTATGCAAGTCTGAGAGTAAATGGAGATTAAAGTCTCACTTACAAATCAGCTTCCTTAACCCTTGGACTGCTAAGCTATTTAGGAGTATGTACTTCATTATGGTGCTCCTGACAACAAATAGTTAACAAATCAAATGAGGAAAATTGCATAAAGCAATTTGCACACACATGAGGTAGCCATAAATAGCACTTGGAGCAGTGTAAGGGTAAAGAAAACTGATTATTTATGAAGCAATCATATCTGGGAATGACTCCTAGATGCATTCAGCAAAAGCTATAAATGAACAAGTTTATATATTTTTTCCTCCAGAGAACTGAAGAACCTATTCCTTGCCATTTACAGTACTGTAGTTTGGAATAGGATAATTAAGGCTGATATAAAGATGGCTTTGCTAGTTATGGATACAAGTCAATATAATGATACTATGTGCCATATTGGTTATTGTCTCGTTAATCTGTATAAATTCTCGTTTATCTGTAACAATAAACTGTATACTAAATTCTACAATTTTCATTCTTATCCCATTACTTCATACTGTATACTAGTGAGACTTTCAAGAAAATAAACACAAAATAATAATATTACACACATCATATATTTTATTAGTGCAAGTACTGATCATGAAGAAAAAATATTGTACAACAAAATAGTTGTAGTAAGTCAAAAACAATTGAATGCCTCAATGATAGAAAGATGATGAATGAGAAAGCATTCTGAACTAACCAACTGGTCCTCCAAAGGTTAAATAAACTTTTGTAATACAGTTGAGCAACCAAAATCCAACATTGCTGGGGAGCAGCAGCCCATTATGGATTGATGATAGTTTCAAATTTTAAACGAATGTTGACCCTCTTCCAAACTCTGCCTAAAATATGATGCGAATTTTATATACATTTTATCCCTCACTTTCAGGCAATCACATGGTGTAGATTATGAATGCACATTATCACCTGTGATGCCATAATATGTGCTGAATATTTTTTATATATGTTATCAGCATTGCTGGCTAAGCATGATTATTAAAATTATACAAATTTACTGTAAATAAGAAATAAAGAAACATTGTTTACTTAGCAAGGCAGGAAAAGTACACTTTCACCACACGTCATTACTGGACAGCGATATCTTTTGAGAAGCGATTACAAGAAAAAATCCATGAAAACCCTATTGTTAATATTTTTGGTATTTTTAAAGTACAGTGGAACCTCAGTTGACAAATGACCCTCTTTATGAATAATTCGGTATACGAGGTCAATTTCCTCGTAAAATTTGACTCGATATTCGAGGTTTGCCTCGGTTGTTGAGTTTGTTGATACTGTACATGTACTGGTCGACGATCCCGTGGTTCTGCTGGGCACGGGGTGAGGCGCTATCAGTTTACCAGTGTATCCCGCTTAGTGACGACCACGCTTGAATTCTTTGTGAAGAATTTAATTGTTTTCCTGCTTTTTTTGTTTTCTGAACATAAAACTAGTGATGAATGTAATGAAACGCCATTTTCTGGGTGAGCTGCAGAGGCTTCCTGGAGCTATCAGACTGATATATGCTATATTAGTCTGGGGCTTCAGTCAATGGTGTTTTGCCTACCGAGGACCACTAGCCAAAACATGGCTCTTTCAGAGGGGCACAGGGAGCAATGACCATAGGAAAACCCCCCTTGTATTTGAGGGTATTCCATCTGCCATCAACCGGGGTTAGGCACTCAGAAAGGTAGGTATTTCAAAACAAGCCACATGGTAGGAAAGTGCAAAAAACCCAAGACCGAACAGAGAAACAGGACTCCCCAAACAGAGAGCAAAGAAAACAAGCAAACAAGCAAAAGTCATTCACCACCACCCCGCTGATTGTCCGTGCAGCCTGTTGTCACAGCCCTCCCATCCCCGGGAGGGGGTTACCTTGGACCTTCGCGCCAGCTACCTCACACCCTCAGTTCGGAGGCTGAGCATTAAAAAAAGAAAATGCCGACCAGAGGGAGGGAGGGTGCCAGGGAGCCTCCAGGGCTCACCCAGGAAATGGCGTTTCATTACATTCAATGCTAGTTTTCTGTGGGGGAGCCCCTTCGGCTCCCTTGAGCTACATAACCAAAGTACAGAGGAACCTCATGTGACGAGCAGCCCCATCTACAAGCATTTCAGGTATCGAGTGAGCCACTCGCAGAAAATTTGTCTTGATTGATAAGCTTCCGCTCGATTAACAAGAAAGCAAAGTAGTGCTCCCTAACGTTCCTGTTGGTTCTCGCAAATTCTCGGACGCCTCCGATGACAGTGTTGTTGTTTTATCGCGCAGGACATGCATCCCTCTGCATTTATTTGTGCTTTTCTTTGGGTTTTTCGTGGTTTTGTGACTACAATTTGTAACCCACGATGTCACCAAAAAAACCTGCTTGCTTCTTTGAATAGTGTTGTCAAGAGTAAGAAAGACACAATTACTCTTGATTTGAAGAAGGAAATCACCTGACTCAAGAGGTGGAGTCTCCTGCCACACCATAACCCCTCTCTTCCTCCCCACCTCCCCATCGTCTCCCTCAAGCCACCAACAACTCTTCAGAAGGTAAAGTGCAATTGAAAACAGTAAAACAAAACATTTATAATAATTACATGCATTATAATTATGCAGGCAATGAGTCACAATAACGTATGAAGTATGTTGACCAGATGACACACTAGAAGGTGAATGGACGACGATGTTTCGTTCCAGTCCTGGACCATTCTCAGTCGACTTGAGAATGGTCCAGGACGGACCAAAACGTCGTCGTCCCTTCACCTTCTAGTGTGCATTATAATTACATTATAAAATTTCATATTGATGTTTTACGGGGTGGAATGGATTAATTTTATTTCCATTATTTTAAATGGGGAAAATTCATTTCGCAAGATGAGCATTTCACACGATGAGCGCAGTGCCGGAATGGATCAAATTCATTAACTGAGGCTCCTCTGTAGAAAGAGGTACTTCCCCCAGGGGGCGGCCGCACCGTGTGCTTCAACTCGAAGACGAGACAACTGGCTACAACCTGCGACCCAAGGCAACGCATGAACGACTGGGACCAGGAACATTCACCAAATAACGGGCGGCCAGGACCTTGTTCGACCTCCAAAAACCCCGTGCCCGAATGTCAGCCCAAGACATATTCTCAAACACAGCGACCAAAGCAGCATACTTATGAACATCATGGGCACAAGGGTAGACCGCAGGCTGGCTAGACTAAATAACCCTGCGGATGACCTGAGAGACCCAAGCCCTGGAAAAGGAAACGAGGGAAATTGAATCAACCCAAAGTGCATCCACTGCCAAAGAAACCGAGGCGCGCAGGTAATGGCGCAGAGCCGCTACTGGATACAATACATGATGAACCCCCCTGGCCTGATCAACCAAGTACCAATAACCCAAGGGCCCCCCCTCCGGAAGCCTGCCGTCTCGTTCTTCACCAGAAAAGAAGGAGACGGCTGCAATGAAACAAAACGTCCACCAGGACCGAAAGAGCAGAAACCTCTACTCCGAGCATGAAGCTCACCAACCCAATCCCCAGAGACCAATGCCAACAGAAACAAAGTCTTCAGAAAGTAATTGTGAACCAAAGGGGCCACCACAAACTGAGGAGAAGAAAGGAAAGAGAGTATGCGGGCCAAGGATCAGGATGGCTCAGACTGCGCAAACAAAGCACGAGAAAGTTTACGGAACGGGACGGAAGTGACACCCACCCCGAACGCAAGCTGGAGCAGCTCTACCAGTGCTGCACGATAAGAGGTGACAGTATTAGGCATAAGATGATGGTCCTGAAAGAGCCAAGAAAGAAAGGACAAGACAACCCAAATGGAAATAGAAGACAGCCTACGAAGAGAAAGGAAATGGCACGGATTAAATTCGTAAATGGAGGGGCCATATGTGGTATTTAAAAAATAATTTTGGACTGTCATAGTGTGTGTTCAGATTTTGTGAGCTCAACTGTACTACTACTGGTTCTACTTGTATAGTTAGTGAACTTGGCAAGTAATCCTTTGTTTTGATGCCACTTATTCTCGGAAATTTATACCATTACATGCTCTCTAAATTTTCCTTCAATGCATTTGTCACAAAACTGTATAACGTATTTAACACAAATGGCACATGGTGGGAAACCTATATGAGAATGCCTTCTTTAATGAGATATTAGCTCAGTGTTAACCTGACAGATGCCATCTGTGTGCCGCTGGACTGCACTGAGAGCTAGAACAGCTGCTTTCGTATCTGTCATAACATCTCCGCTTAAACTTGCATTATCCTCCTTATCTTCCCGACTTGGGTTTGTACCAGGGCCATCAACTAAGCACAGAAGTTCATCATCATCATTGTCGGCATCACTGTTTTCCTGACAGGTAATAGACAGGTTCTCCCTGAGGAAGGTGGGTTCATTATCACAGACATTTCCTTGAATTTGTGTATGCCCTCCTACGGCCAGAGGTGTGTGGCACTCAACATCTATGGAAGTGCTGGCACGTGGTGCATCTGAGTATGCATGATAAGGTGCATATGCTGCGTGGGTGCTTCCTTCAGTATCATCTGTCTCAGAGCTGACAATTACAGAGGCAGAGTCATCATAGTCTGAAAATAATTACCAGGATTATTGCTTATCTAGATAAAAATTTTGTGTTTCAAGAAGATTAGTGTATGGAATATGAACTGATATCTGAACCTTGTACATAGTCTATCATAATCAGGGTCTTCTATGCCACTATCCTCAATAATTATAGTTAGGGTACTTATTTATTTCATCATCATTATATGATGTGGTGGACACGAGGTGCATAGCGGTGGTGTGTGAGCTGCTGCTGCTGCTGCATGCATTACTCATGGATGCTCTCACAGTATTGAGGCCCCTCACACCCAGGAGGCATGCCCAGGATATTTTTCCAAGATTATGTCTGTTTACTGGAGGCCTGAGGAAGCAGATGTGAGCCTTTTGCACCCATGGGAGTTTTAAATCTTACGTGGTATATTAATACAGTACATACCTGGATGTGATGTGTAGTTGAAGGATTACAATTGAGTAGCCATCAAGAATTAAGAAAATTATATAATAATTGTATTTTCAATTATTTTCAGGCTTCCCAGGTTTCATTGGGTTGCCAGAAATCCATGGGAATACCCATTACTGAGCATTTGCTTTTTGGATATTTTCTGGAAATATTGTGTATTATGTATTGGCTAAACACATGACTGCATCATCCTCCCTGTGAGGTTAATTTCAATTGCATGTGTAATATAGTGCCTGTAAATGGTGAAAGTTAACATGAAATGGACACATAATAAATGTAAGCAGAGCTTTTTATGTCTGCTTATCAATGAATACAGTTAGGAAGTGAATGAAGGAGATGTCCCTTTGTGATATTACCCACTATACCTGCGCAAGCCATTTTCACAGTAAGTAACAGGTAGCAAATATTTGCTTTCAATAGGGCAAGCTCTTATAAGAAGATATTTTTATTGCTAACTATAAGGGGGTATGCAACTGTGCTCAAGCATTATGATTACATTTTTGTTTAATTTTGGAATGATCAGTGCATAAGGTTTTGATATAGCCCCCCCCCCCCCCAAAAAAAAAATAATAACAAAATAATAATAATAATAATAATAATAATAATAATAATAATAATAATTCAGAGTAAGATTTTTTGTGGGTTGTCATGTGGCACTATTTTCTTTGATGCTAATCCCAACGTATCCATGTTGAGCATTTACTCAACAGCAATTACTGGGAGAGATTCGGTGAATATAACCCCAAGTGTCTGACCTCCAACCTCATACACACACACACACACATTTCCATTTAAAGATATAGAGGTTCAAAAGTGGGTACAGTATTCTTTAAGTGGATAAAGATGGTGCCCAAAGGGAGTCACTGTCTACATAGCATTATACGACGTGCGAGAGTTATTACCTTGTGAAAGCAAGGAGGCCTGGTTGGAGACCGGGCCACGGGAACATTGATCCCCAAAATCTACGTAAGGTAAGGTAGAAGTGATCACATTTTAAGTAAATGTACATGGATGCAGGCATCATAATGATATGCTTTACCCCATAGCTCAAATAATCCTTTTTATACAAATATAAAGCTAATGCCATGTTTATGTGCTGGTATAGCCAAGCTCAAGCAATCACACTAGGCCTTAAATGTTTTATGCTAGCCTACCAGAGGCCAGAACCATAATATGGCTATCAATTATAAATTTAAAATCATACTGTAATGACAGCCACACAAGCCCAATTTAATAAAACTGTATATGATACCTGTCTCTTGAAGGGCTGAAGTTAAGTCTAGCATTGGAGCATCTTCTCTCTCCTCCATGCTGTCCTCTTCACTCGAGTCAGTTATTGCAGATAATAATGGCACATCATCAGCATCTGGTGGTGGTGGTGCAGGATCCTATGAAAAACCATAAATATTAAAAATATTCCTATTCAGTGAAAAAGTCAATGCTGGTAAACATTAAGTAAGCCTATCAAAGATTTATCATAATACCATTATTATTACCAATTGACTGGTTGGTTTTTATGGCAACTGCCATACAGGAGGTCATTGGGCCAAAGCATCATGAATATAATTAAACATTAATATAATTTCTAAAACTAAGGCATAAAGAACTGGCATTGAATGTAATGAAATGCCTCTTTCTGGTGGATTCTTTGTGGCTCCTTAGTGCTTGCTATCTGGGAAGCTCTACCCAATTCAATCCATGCCAGGTCCTTGTGAGTCACTCACTTTAAGCCTACTAGGGATCAAAGGCCAAAACCTGGCCCTAAGTAAAAGACATGCAAGAAGCAAGGGATCCTAGATCCCCCTAACCAACAAAAGGCCATCAGAAGGATGGACAAACCAAAACATGTAATCAGCAAGGTAAACAAAGCAAAGAAAGAGAGACTACGAACTCCTAAAATAGATGAACCACCCAATCGTGGAGCAGTTCATTTATTAGTTCACCTGCACACCACCAGGGCACTATGCATCTTCCTCATCAATCTCCTAGCCTTTAACCTCAGCCACTTAATTAGGAAGATGGAAAAGCTGAAGCCTCAAAACAAGAAAAGGAGGGTCCCAAAGATCCACCAGAGAGATTTTTCTGGTTAGACTTCTATTGGTGGCGCCTTGGTGCTATATCACCAGAGAAAATAAAAAAGGGAGTACTCACCAGTGGCAGAAGACAACTGTAGAAAATAACCACAGGAAAGGGGAGAGATAGGGCTGATTTATTAGCCTCAAAGCCACCTAAGCTCACCACAGACCAAGAAGTTTCAATAAGTAACAAGCAGCCAGCACTCTATTGGACTGCCAAAACCTGAGCCTAAATATTTGCCCCAAAATATATTAAAAATAAGGGTTGCTTTGTATGGGCCAATAGGCCCATATATGAATGAGTTTAGGTATACACCTGTATATAAATAGGACTATAGGTAACTACACTATAAGAGGAAGACAACCACAAGAATTAGACAAAAAGACCTGGGAATGGAAATAAAAATGGAAACCAACTGGAGAAGCTCATAATAACAAGATAACATCAGCGTGTTTGTCAGGTATACCTAATGAGTTTAGGTATATATAAATATGACTATAGGTAACTACACGATAAGAGGAAGACAACCCACAAGAATTAGACAAAAAGACCTGGGAATGGAAATAAAAATGGAAACCAACTGGAGAAGCTCATAATAACAAGATAACATCAGCACCATAACCATGCTGCTAATGTTAGGGATAACATAACCATGTAACAAACTAGGCTGTTGTAAGAATTATCCAGAGTGGTTTATCGACAAAAGAGAATGGGAAGCTGAGCCGCATGGTGACCTGACCCCCAGGGGGATTCGCGGTGGAAATAACCGACGCGTTGTTCATAACTGCGTATAATGAACCATCCTATAGTATTCAGTAAATTAGAGAAAATTAGCCTTTATTCATTTTGCATTAAAATTGTATTGTATAATAGTACTGGATACAATATCAAGAGTATTCTAATTATTGAGTTTAAGTCACCATCAGTGACGTCACGAATCGGATCTAACTTTTAAGGCGGAGTGACCGGCGGTCATAGGTCATCAGGGGTTGACAGGTCTACTATTTCTACTATTTCTACAAGTTTTAATAACCATTTTTGTGATCGGGAACAGCTCTGCCGTTAGATGTTTGTAATTTAATTCAGTAAAATAATTCAACCAGTCTGGATCAATTCAGTATAAACAGAGGATAATTGTTATAACTTAACCTTGCTAAAGTAACTGGGTAAGCGATGCGGAACAATACAATACTCTGTCTGGGGTAGTCCAGACAAGGAAAAAAGCAGTGTGGTCACGGAAGCAGCTAGGAGAGGTCAAACATCTTACCTCTCCCCTAGACCAGCCACGACATCTAGCTGGTCGCCCAAGGTATAGTTGCTATTGTTAATTATAGAAATAGTCTTCTCATTTGCCACTCAGGTCAAGTAGGGAGTGTTAAAGTAATAGGGAGTGAACATATTTAGATTTTGTTTTAGTTTTCTTTTAATAAATTAAATTTGTTATTAATTTGCATTTTATTGTTTCCATGTGTTTTATGTGTATACTTGTCCTGGTCACGTGGTCCACACGAGGCAGAGTTGCATTGGGCGCCGATTCTAACATCGAATCGGAATTATCATTACCGTGTAATTTATTCCACACTCAAGGTCATCGTTTATAGTGGGGATCAAGCCCCTAGGTTGATTAATTAGCGTGATCGATCCAGACCTCGATCATTGCTCTTGTATTACTGGTCTGGTGGTGGCAGCAGAGGTGACTCTAGGGTTTTGTTCAGAGCTTAGGTCACGTCATACTGGGTGTAGAATCCTAAGTCGGTCAATCGTCTTAGGACCACGTGGCGTGGAGTTGGCTTTGTTAAAAGTTTTGGAGTCCCTTGGTTTAGAAATAAAAGTAAGAATACGGGTAGAGGGAGTAGAAAGAAGGAAGTAAAGAGGGAGGAACCCAAACCCGTGTTACAATGGTGCACAGCGGTGGTTTCAACAATTTTGTTTGAAATTGTTGAAAGGCTCACGCGTCTAGCCGTTCGAACACGTGCGCGGATGTTAAGGAGACAGCCGCGGGCCAGGATTAGCAGTGCGCCCCACAAGTGCGTTTGAGTGGGGATTGGCGAATCTGGGGTCATGCGGGCTGATATGATTAAGGTTAGTTAGTAAGATTAGAATTAAAAAAAAAAAACTAGATTTATTGAAAAGGAGACCGCTCCGAGTTGATTGGACTGGGTACCATACTCGACCCATTGCAATTAATTCAGAGGTGTTGGGAGCCACCATACTCTCAACAGCAGTTCCTTGAGGGCTGTCGGGGGCGGATATATCTGTGGGACGCCAGTAGATAGTCCGAGGGCGTTATTAGACGACCCAAAACGCTAAGGAAAAACGTAATCCGTGAAGGGCGTTGCGGCCTCCGAGGGACGGACTAGTAAACTACCTAGCAGCGATTCAACAACTAAGTGATCGCACACTTAGTGGAGGTTGAGTCGTCCCTAGTCATAATTGTTGCTGAAAGCTGCGTGTCGCTCTGTTGGAACCTAGAGGGTGTGGCCCCTAGGCTAGGTGTGGTACGGCGAGCCGGTAAGGACAATTATAGGATTAAGTCGAGTGCATTTTTTTAATTAAGTATACTTAAATTTATAAAGTAATTTCCGTTTAGTTGCGTTGTTCTAGATTAATTTTTTTTTTTTTTCCCTAAATTCAATCCCCGGTTAAAAATTTTTTTTTATCAAAGTGTTTAGCGTTTTCTTGCATATTAGGCTAAGTGCGTACATTTTTTTGCTATTCCCTGTTGTATTAGTCTAAGTCAGAGGCGTTGTTGCTAGAGTGTAGTTAATCCTCTGGACTTAGGGCTATGTGTCGGTCACGATAGATAAGTGAAGGAGTTTAAGGGATAGTAAGTTGCGTGTAAATGTTATTTGTCCGCGGAATATTTCTAAGTATTTTGGGATAAGTTTTCGGCTAAGTCAATGTCGGAAACTCGTTAACTGTAATTAATTTGTATTCGTGGGTCACGTGTATGATCTGGGCGTCATTAGGATTCCCCAGTCGATGCGCGTGATATTTTCTAGTTTTTACCAGTAAGACGGTAGAATTGTGTTTGTAGACTTAGAATTCTGTTTTCAGTAGAAACGTAGGTGGAAAATTTTCTAAGTCCAGCTTGGGCTAGAATCTGACTTTTTGGCGGAAATTCTAATTTTCATGTTTCGTGTATATTCTGGGGCCAGTATTACTCTCTAGTGCGCGCAAGGGACGTAATTCTGTCCGTAAGCATTAAACAGTGATAATTACATTTTTGCCGAATTTAGTTATTTTTCGAGAAAATCGTGTCGTAATTTTGTCAGAGTCCATTTGAGGTGAAAATCTCGGATTTTGACGAAAAATCGAATTAGTGAGTGTTGAAACCGCCCGAAGTGTCAGTATTGTTCTGCATACAACGTCAGTAGTAAATAATAACGTATTTATATCTGGGAACGAGAAACCCAAATTTTTGTGAATTAAAGGAGTTTTGTGATATTTGGGGTGATAGAAATTTTTTTCCCTCGAAGTCAGAAAAATTGGCAGAGTCCAGCAATTGAGTAAAAACGCAGTTTTTGATAAAAATTCAATTTTTAGTAAGCATTTATAGGTCCTGGGTGTCTATATTAATCGCTAGAGCGGTTTATTAACGTAAAACTAGTTATTTTCCTTCAGAACAAAAATTTTGATTTTTCAGCGTTTAAGCGAAAAAGCGCGGGACTTAGTTTTTTTTTTCAGCGCAGCTGGTCCCGCTCCATCAGTCATCAGTGGCCACGCTGCTCACTTCAAGCGCGTTTAGTATTCAAGTACAGTAAATATTCTTTATTAATCCATCACGAGTGCTGCGCGTTAGTTGCGTTATCATTTAAATTGTTTTATATAAATTAGATTCTTTAATTTTTTTAACGTAAAGGACTTAGGTTTCAGCAATAGAACTGCGGGATATTTCACGGTCAGACACGAGTGCGGGGCAGACACTCATTCATTGGATTCACTTCAGCGATTCTCTCGATAAATCGTTGTATTTCCTATTTTGGGAATTTAGTAGTTTTCTCTTAGAATAGAGTTGTGATTTTTTTTTTTGTGTAAGATCACGGTTGTAGTGAGTCCGGGTCGAGGGTGTACTAAAGGGTAGTTTAGAAGAGACGTGGCACACCAGGAATCACAGAAAATGTTTAACCCAGATAATGACCAGTCAGTAGGGACCAGTGGGAGTGGAATGGGAGTGTAGAGGATAGAACCTCTTCCGACACCACTGGGGATCGCTCAGGTAGCGATACTATTATTGACATGAGTGGGGAGTCTTGCGAGGAGTCGTCCCATGAGTGGGGAGAGCCGTCTTGGGTTCCCCCACAAAGAACAT